ATTCTCTTCATTATCTTTCATCTGGGGCTTATTTGATCATTTCTTAGATCTAGGAGAGATTAGTGAAATTCTTTTTTACTCTTGTTTTACCCATGAACCTTGTTGATGGTTGTCTAATAAAAATCTTACTGATAAAATGTAGGAGGAGTTATTCTTAATTCTTGAAGATTAATAGCATTTGGTATTTTGCTAATAGTAGTTGGAACAGTAGGGTGCGGTAGGAAGAGCTTTGCATTCCTATCCCTGTTTTTCTACTTTGATTTTTCTGACCCTTCATTCATCTGTCAAATGGGAGAAAACCTAGGGTGCTTCATGAATTAAAGTTAATGTATATAAAGTAATTACCCCAGTGGTTAGTAGAGGTAGGTAGTTGCTCAGAAAAGTCATTGTCATCACTGAGTGATTTTTTGATTATTATTCTAATATGTTACTGTTAGCCATCTGCTAAAATATTTGGCATATAAGCTGTTGCTCATCCTACAGAGCATATTTCTGAAAGCAGGGCTTTGCCGATTGTGAGAATGGGTAGTGTTTATTTAAGTATCATTGTCTGGTAGGTTTTGTACACATTCATATTCCAGGGATTAGTCCTTTAGTTACTCTTGTTAAATGTTGTACATATTCAACCACATTTAAATTAATGCCACAATTAAGAGATTTTTTTTTAGGGGGGAAAAGATAATTATTAGCAAATAGAAAAATTCCACTTGTAAGTGATTGTTAATCCACAGGATTTTTATAGCAGATGTTTGCATTTTTCCTACCCCACAGTACTCTGTGAACCTGCCATGCTGGATAAATAACACGTTCTGATGATTTTGCACCCTGGTGTCATAGAAACAGTGGAAATCAAAGATTAAATGGTGCACATAGTGATCAGGTTTCCTAGGGCAAATTGAAACAAAGTGCTGAGGCAGTTATTTGGGTAATCCAAAGTCATGTCTTTTACAAAAATGGAACTTAGCAAGCTTTATGCTAAACATTTGGTCTTAAATACATCTTACAAAAATCCCTATAAAGTGGGTGTATTATTGTTTTGACTTTACAGATGAGTATATGGAGACTTGGAAAGGTTATGTAACCTGCCCAAGATTACACAATAAGTGATAGAAACAGGACTGTGCCTTAACTTTTTCTGACATGAAAATTTGATTTTTTCCCCTCCAGATAATATTATATGTCACACTTTTGCTAGAGATGTTTGGCATCTTTTCCACATTCATTTTTATTTTTGCCAGTGATACTTTCTTGCATGTGATCTATATAATAATATCCACTCTAGCCTGTACTGAGGGTGACATCAGAATCAGAGAATATGGGCTGAAGGCCCTTCCAGGGGGACTGTAACTTTCATTTTCATCCAGCTTCTTTAGGCTTCCAGAATGTTCTGATCCCAAATAACAGAAGCTGAGTTTATTCTGAAGAAGTTCCTTGCTCTAGGCTTAAAAGTTCTAGTTGTGTGGGATTGTGAATGCCCTGACCCTGGGTATACCAGAGTTTGTATTTGATTTTCTCCTGTGGAGGAAGTTTTAAATATCTCTACAGTATATTAAGGGAATTTTTGATCTTTAGGGCATATTAAAATGACTAAGACTTCAAAGGTATTAATTGCTTCTGTCCACAAGGAAGATATCTGTGACAGTGTTAGTAGCACTGACTGTTGTGCCCAATACTCTTTGTAAAGTTGTACTTATGAAACTGTGCATTTAACCTCAGGAGTGTGGCTTTTAAGTAGAATATAGTGAAGTACATTACATAAAAAAGAGACGAACAGTTCTGTGTGGTGTTATAGTGCGTTAGCGTCAACTCTCACTATTTCAGGGGTGACTACAATTGGAGCAGCAGATAGAGCAGGTAAGCCTGAAACTTCATTGGAGGTAAACTTCCACCTCCCCAACATTTTCGAGGTTTGGTGATATGGTGGTCATTCTGGTGAGCACCTGAGGTACAGAAGGGACAGTAATGAGAATTGGGAATGCTGGGCAACTGCCAGCTTGGCTGGGCGGAAGCTTGGAAGGCACAGAGGAAGAAGAGATTGCAGCACCTTTCAGCTGTGTTTTTGTACACCTCCTCTACCATCTGTTTCCATTGAGGCAACATAGCAAAAATCGTCTTAGGTTTATGACAGTAATGCATGGCAAATATATTCCGTTAACAAATCAGTGATTTGTACTGGTGATTTGAAAGCCCCTAGGTAAATTGATGACAGACTTCATTCACTAGGTTAGTTGACAGGCATGACCATCCTGTGTACTTAGCTGGATTAGTGGGAAGGCTTTGTAACATTCCTGTTAAAAAAAGTGTGTGTTGGTGAGGTGGGTGTTGGCAAGGAGCAGCCTTTACTCTTTCTCTGACTGTATGACACCTACAGGATCCAGAGCCAAAGGATCACTCAGACTCCCATTCTCCTAGCTTATGGGCTCTCACTAGGAGGAACATGGCTTCCTAGGGAGCTGGGTGTGATGGTGCACACTGTGGCCTTGTCTACTCAGGAGGCAGAGGCAGAAGGATCACAGTCCTAGGCTGGCCAGGGCAAAGTTAGCAGGGGACCCTTTCTGAAGCATAAACTAAAAGCAAAAGGAAGTGGTTGTTCATAACAGGTAGAGCACTTGTGCGTGGGGGTCTGAGTTCATTCTCCAGTTTCAGAAAGAAAAATTTGTGAACTTAAAAAATTGCCCTCAAGAAGGTGAGAATTGGTTATGGGAGTGGTACAAGGAAATTTTATGACTTTCTCTATATAAAGTACAGTTATGTATATACAAACATACATATGCATAAAAAGATAGATATTATATTTGTGGTATTAAAATTTCATGGAAAAGGTTAGAGAAAAGTCTAAAAAGACTCCTTTGGGGAATAATAACAAAAAAATATCAAGAAACACTGCCTTAAACTCTGTCCAGGTAAAGAATTGATGATTTTGGAGTGGAGAAAAGATAATGAAAAGGTTAGATTAAAACAACTTGAGTTTTCTTATGAAATTGGAATAGTTATCTCTATAGTAAGGAGGAATAAGGGCTACCATCTTGTGAGTGGAAAAGTTTAGAACTGCTTCTGTGGGAATGAGGGTGGGCTTGTGTGGATTTGTCTCTTAGGGTGACAATAAAGTTAGTGAAATCAGCAAGGAGCTGATTCCACGTCTCGTCTAATAAAAGCCACATTTAGCCAGTTGTTTAATGGGAAAGGTTGTCATACACCAGTTTCAGATGAATTTAACTGATGACAAATAATCTGTTAATTGTTTTCAGGCATGTTTGCCTTTGAGCAGTGTAAAAGAATAGTAGATAATTAGTAGATAATCAGATCAATGGTTCCCAACCCAGGGACTGAAGGAATGTTTGCAATGCAAATGTAGACAAAGCAGAATTTGTCTATAGGCGATATTAAAAGTGTCTTACAAATCCACTTGTTACTATTTTAAAAAATGTGTGTATGTACTGCTATAATGAATAAAAATAAGCTAAAATTATTGCTGAATTTATACTAGTTCTTTGTCATTATGTAATTTCTCAAGCCATAAATACTTCCACAAATGGAAGTGTTATTACTTCCACGTGAGCTGCTTGTCCTGAAATGCTCCGGAACCATTGTGCTAAGTATGTAGTGGGGTAATACCCTTGCAAGGAGACGGCGTTTCTGCCACTTAGGCCAGCACACATAGGAATCACAAGCAGAATGGGCCCTGCACATAGTTTCTTAAGAGTCCAGGAACTTGGGAGAAGATTCCTCAAGTAAAACATTCTGTACAGAGCCATGTTTAATGACTATTGTTTGTCTTTTTTTTGTTCAGGCCTTATAGGCAAACATTGCTCCAAAATGGTTTGTTGGAATTTGTTGAGAGTGATTTGCCACCTCAAATCTTCATACTTTTAAAGCTTTTGTTATTATTAGAGTATCAATAAGAATATGATTGGTAGCGGGGCATGGTGGTATATACCTGTAATCCCAGCTGCTTGGGAGAGCCCAGGCAAAGGTAGTTGAGACCCTTTCTCAAAGATAAAATACAAACAAAAGGGTGGGAGCCTGGCTCAACTGACAGAGCACTTGCCTGGCATGTTCCAGGCCCCTGCGTTCAATCCCCCGAGCTGCAAAAAAACAAAACAAAACGTAAGAATATGATTGGCATTAACGTTTCCAGTCCTGTGGTTCTCACCTGAGGGGCGTGGCGTATGTCAGCCTTCCCCGCGGTGTGACAAGTGAAACACTGAGTTGTCCCACACAGTGCCATGACACTCCATCTCTAGATGTCTGCAAGTGCTTTTTTGATATTTATGATATATACCCCTTCTAAAAATTTGTTTCATGGATTTGGGTAAGAAAAGGATGCGAAAACCTTCAAAATAGTTGCATATCTTCTATAATTGTGCATCCCTGCACAGGTAGGGCAGCACTTTAAGCCATGTTGCATTTACAACAAATTTCCATTATTAGCACAGTTCAATTAACTTAATTTAATTTACTTTTGTTGCCAAGAGACTAAAAGCCACTTAGGAGCTTATCTCTTCTGAATCTCATTAGAAATTTTATATTTTAAAGCACATTAAAAAAATTCATAGTGTTGGGGATCAAATAAAATATGATTTGTTCTTTGATTGACATAGGAAACTAAAAAGTCCCATGATTAGCTCACTTAGATTAAGGTTTTATGTTGATGTATTTAAACTTAAGTGATTTTTAAAAATTTTAATTTATGTTTTTATAGCTTTATTAAAATTGAATTGATATATAATAAACTGTAAATATTTAGAGCACACAATTTGACGAATTTTCACATATGTATGCCGCAATGAAACCATCTTCACAATTGAGGTGGTGACTGTACCCACCACCCTCAAGTTTCCTTGTAATACTTTGTCATCCTTCCTTGCCCACCACATTCCCACTGCGCTTAATTACCGCTGGTCTGCTGGTTTGTTTCTGCCATGATAGACTGGTTATTTTATGTAAGTGGAACCTCACAGTCTTATTGTCTGGTAATGCTGATGTACATATCCTTTCAGTTCCAGTTCAGACATCATAAGAGATCTTCTGGAAGAAGAGGAAGCCTGGGAAGCATCACATAGGTGAGTTCTCATAACCAAGAAATACGCATGTACTTTGACCTGAGAAATGCTAGTTCTATGCAGCTTATTTTCAAACGAGAGAATATTTGCGCTGTCTGATTTAAGTAAAGGTTTCTAGTTGACTGCTTGTTTCAATACATTTCTGCTTTAAAATTGAGTGCTCTTGTAATAACTCCAGTTACTTATCAGTAGTTGTTTCTATAAGTCCAAATTATTTCTATGGATAATTTAATAGTTTGGCCTTAAGAACTGTCTCAGAACTATTAGAAAACTTTAAATCCCTTTTATCAGAAAGTACAAGCCATTGTATGTGAATCTCCGTCTTCCTAATACCAAACATAAATCTGCCTGTATTTGTACATGTGTTATCCTCATTCTCTCCTTTTATCACAAAGAACTGTCCCTTCTCCTATCTGAGGCCCTTCTTCCTTCTACCTCATTCCTACCCTCTTGTCGGCAGCCTCATCCCTTCTTTCTCTTATGTAGGCAACCTGCATTCTTAACTATGTCTTTTTTACTTAGTTCTCAGTATACAGTGGTGTCTTCATTCCTTCCTTAATAGGTGATGTAGCATATTCAGCCAGTTCCATCATTCTTCTGAAGCAGCTTCCACTGAAGCCATTGAAGGCCCCATGTTCTGAATCCAAAGGGTGTATTTTAGACCTCATCTTCCTGAAGTAGTATTTGATGCTACAGATCTCTTTACCTTCCTTAAAGTTCACTCTTCCTTGGCTTCTGAGATTCAATACCCTGGTTTCCTCTTGCTTCTTTAGCTGTTTCTTTTTTCTTTCCTTTTTTTTTTGTTTATCCTCAATCAAGGCATTAATTGTTGACATTGGTCAAGATTAAATTGATTCCTTAGTAAGTTTATTTCTCCTGCATGTACCTCTCCTGAGCTCCAGACAGGAATCCAAGTACATCCCTTATTTCTCCTCTTGGATTCTTTAATACCTCTCAAAATATAAATCTTGAGCAAATGCAACAATACCTTGCAAAATGTTAACACTTGATGAGATCTACTGTTCACCAGCCTCCAAAGAACTTTTAAAACAGAATACAAACATGATCTCTTTCCAGTGTTTTCAATTTCTTAAGCCAAAAAAGTTAGCTGTCATACTTGACATTTTGTTCTTCATTGCCTGTATGTTCAGTCAATGACCAGTCATGTGGGCTTTGCTTCTTAAATATCTTTGGAAACCTTTATTTCCACAGCTTATCACTTTCATCACTGCTAGTCATCCCTCTATGTTAATAGTTTTCCATGGCTTCTTGCACTTCTTAGGATTAAGAAGGGATTCCATAGTAGGCTTAAAAGGGCCTGTGTGCTCAGGTCTCCTCTTAAATCAGAGTAACAGTTTTGGATACTGACTGCATTACTCTCTCACCTAGTGTTATTTATCTTTGAAGTCTGGAAGAGGAGGTTACTCCTTCACCTTAACCTGTTTGTGCTGAACTCCCCACACTAATGGCTGTAGCAAGCTGTAGTCCAGAATTCTTGAACCCAATGTCATTCGTGAAAATGATGACCTCTTAAAATCTCTCCTTTCAGAAACCACTTAGAAAACAGATCCCACCACTTACTGCTCACAGATGATAAATGTTTAGGAAGGATGCAAGAGCTGATCTAATCCAATCTCTTCATTTTATAGAGAAGGAAGCTGAGCTTCAGAAAGGTCAGTTGACTGGGGTAAGGTCCACAGTTCGTTAGTGCTACTCTCAGGATCAGAATCCAGCCTCCTGATTTCGGCTCAGCATAAACAATAGTTTTTATTATGTATGAACTTTTAAAAAAATTTCTTTTATTCATATGTGCATACAATGTTTGGGTAATTTCTCCTCCCTTCCCCCCACCCCCTCCCTTATCCCCCTGTATCCCTCTACCCCCTCGCTATCAGGCAGAAACTATTTTGCCCTTATCTCTAATTTTGTTGGAGAGAGAGTATAAGCAATAATAGGAAGGACCAAGGGTTTTTGCTGGTTGAGATAAGGATAGCTATACAGGGAGTTTACTTGCACTGATTTCCTGTGCATGTGTGTTACCTTCTAGGTTAATTCTTCTTGAATAACCTTTTCGCTAGTTCCTGGTCCCCTTCTCGTATTGGCCTCTGTCACTTTAAAGTTTCTGCATTAGTTCCTTTGCATTGAGGACATCAAATGCTATCTTGTTTTTTTTTTTTTTTTTTGGGTTTCTTGTCTATTCTCATACCTCCCTTGTGTGCTCTCGCCTCATCATGTGCTCAAAGTCCAATCCCCTTGTCGTGTTTGCCCTTGATCTAATGTCCACAAATGAGGGAGAACATACAATTTTTGGTCTTTTGGGCCATGCTAACCTCACTCAGGATGATGTTCTCCAGTTCCATCCATTTACCTGGAAATGATAAGATTTCACTCTTCTTCATGGCCGAGTAGTATTCCATTGTGTATAAATACCACATTTTCTTAATCCATTCATCGATAGTGGGGCATCTTGGCTGTTTCCATAACTTGGCTATTGTGAATAGTGCTGCAATAATTATGTATGAACTCATGCCATAACACAGTTTTAGAGGCAGAATCAGGAAATGCCTGTACTGCTTTACTTTTCAACAAACTGTGGCAGTTCTGTAAATGCTCATCTTAAGCTCATAGGCATATTTTGTGGTACCACATGCATCATGTTTGGGGAACTGGTCTTAGAACATGCTGTTTCACTTCTAACACATTTTCCTCTTCTGTAAATTATTTAGAGGTATCATTAATGACACATTGGTCCATATAAAGCAGTATTTCATAAGCAGAAAGAAAACTTATTTTTCAAGACCACATTGGTCTTGGGTTTTTATGTCTGCAAATATGGTTCATAGCTATGGTTTATCTTTTATGAAACGGACAGGTAGATGTGGGCACACAAGGAGACCGGAGAGGTCCAGGAAAACCAAATTTCTTATACTTCAAGGTCCCAGGGGCATGGCACACCACACAGGGCCACATGGGAAGGACACCAGGGTGGTCATGAGGCATAAGACAGGAGGGTGGAGAGGGGAAGGCATTAGGCCAGAGACTATTGGAGTTTCTATGGGAAAGTCAAGGAAGGACGGTTTAGGCTCAGTTCATTTGAGTAATTTCATCACACTCTAAGCTTTAAGGATTGTTCTTAGTTGCCTGGCACTTGGTCCTGGGATAGTTGGGGAGAAGAATCTTGGGTTTTGGGATGGAGAGGCCAAATGGAGAAGTGTGTCTCTAAATTATTGTTTGCACATCAGAGGCTTCTGGCTGGGTCTTCCTATGGCTAAGAATTAGTTAGCCTCTCTACCAGATAGAAAGGTTTTTTGAGATGTCAGAACATCATAATAGCCAGGAATGGTAGCACATGCCTTTAATCCTAGCATTTGAGAGGCAGAGGCAGGAAGATTGTGAGTTCAAGACCAGCCTGGGCTACAAAGTAAGACCCTGTCTTCAAAAACAAAACAACAGCCAAACAAAACCCCAAATCATCATAATATACAGAAAATAAACAAACATGTAAATGCACATACATAATACAGGCTACAAGATATATTGAACAGAATGAAAACATGAAGAAAAATGGTCCTGGTATGTCATTTCATATTTTGTTCCCTCGAGTCCGACATTGATTTTGAGCTTGGTCTTGTGATGTGAGAAGTTTGATAAGCATTTGCACACTGGGGCTTGTCCTTGAAACACTTATTATTGGGATGCTTTCTCCTGGAACCCAGCCTCTTTCCTGTGAGAAGTCCAACCTAGGCCTGGGAAGAGGCCAATTATAGGAGTATTGAGGACCCAGCCAGCATCTGTAGCTAAGCTCCCAGCCAATAGCCAATGCCAACTTGCTGGTCCCTCACGTGAGCTGTCTTTTAAGTGGATCCTCCAGACCCAGTTAAGCTGTCCCTTCTAAGCACTTCCCTGGTCTCAGAACCATGAGCAAATAAACAATTGTTTAATTTTATGCGAAAGTTCGAGAATGGCTTGAGCAATAGATAACCAAAACAGATATTAAACACAAACAGTTTCTGTTTCGCTTTTTGATTTCTGTAACACACCAACCTCAACCCTTGGAGCTTAAATCACAACCATTGTTCAGTCTGGCCTGGGTTCCCACTACTGCATTTAGTTTGCAGACTGGCTAGGGCTGTGTTCAGCTGCCTTGGTCCTTTCCCTCTTTCTATGCAGTCTTGGAGCCTGTTCTCCTGGTGTCTTCTGTACATGATCTGTCCATGTGGTATTTTCATCTGAAGAGCTGCTGGATTTCCCATGTAGAGGCTCAGGGCTCCTGTGCTACTTAGTAGCTTATTGCCTCTCAGCTCCAAATGCACCCCTTTTTTGCCTTCTCTCTGAAAATTGAACTGAGCCCTTTAAATATTTTTCCTTTGCCAGCTCTCCTGATGTTAAGTTTTGTCAGCAGAAGGCACTGGGAAGACTGCAAGAGGAAGGGATTTTTGCTGTTTGGTTTCTGTGTGATCATTGACTAGGCTCTTAACAGCCCTCATAACTTCTCTAGTGCCTGGCTCCAACAATTGCACAGTGGCCAGCAGCACATTACTCTCCCTGTAGCAGTGGTTACCCACAGTCATGCATGCTTTAGTTAGGCCTGGATCTGTCTGCGCAGAAGGAACTTTTGCTTGGGTACTCAGTCCAAACCCTAGAGGTTGTGCTTATTCCTTTTTTCTTGCTGTTTCTGTATTCTGTAGAGTTCCCTTTACTGGTTACTTGCTATTCCCTTGCTACTTAAATCCCTATAGTTAGTAATTATTTATACTAAAACTGTTCTTTTCAAATTATTGTGATTTTTAATGCACACAGACTGATAAAGTTCCCAAGAGTGCAAATATGAAAGCCATCAGACCTTCCTAAAATTTTGTCCTAAAACTTCTGCCATACTCTGTTAGTTAAATTGAGAATCACAGAACCAGCCCCAGATTCCAGGCAGAAAGTGTGATTGATTAAGAGCCACCACTGTACCAGGCTCTCTCAACACCTGTGCAGCTTACCCCAATCTAAAT